AAAAAAAAGAAGGGAGAATTCAAGGGCAAATGCCGGGGACCCCGGTTTTTAGTGAAACGTGCCAGTGCAACTAACACGTACCGAGATCGAACAGAGCCAGGGTGTTATAGAATCCGGTTAGTCAAGGAAAGGACACGTGCTGTCCGGCATAGCCTATCGTTTACACGCATGCCAATAATATTAACCGTCAACTTTTGGTGTTACAAGTCGTCAATCAGTTGACGTACTTCCCAGGTAAGGCGGGGGTCAGCGTGACAATGAGCCCCCGTATTATAATGATGGGAGAGTCCTTGGACTATAAAAAGCACTTGAGCCTGCAGTTCGGAGGTTACTGCCAGGTGCATGAAGGAGATTCGCCCCGTAACAGAATGGTAGGAAGCACAAAGGCGTCCATCTGTTTGGGAACGAGCGGAAATATGCAAGGAGGCTACAAATTTTTGAGCCTCCGCTCCGGCAAAAAAATTACTCGGCATTCAAGGGACAAGATCCCAAAGCCCGACACAGTAATAGCTAGAGACAATCTATAAGGAAAAGATCAGCCTAAACAACTCGTTTTTACTGATCGAAAAAAAAGACCCATAGGTGATGTCAAGATCACAGGAGTGGATCGGGAAGAAGCAATGACGTCACCCCACGTACCAATGGATCCAAACCGGATGAGGACCTGGACGCGGATGCTGAAACCATTGAAGAAATGGATGATCCCGACGATCCTCAGGACAACGTCAACGACAACGACGCCGAATCGATAGTCCACGAACCGAATGAAATCGTTGAACCGAAAATCGAAACGGAACCGGTTACACAAACTATCGTCGAAACGGTAGAAGAACCGGAACCCACTACGAACCAACAGCCCCTGGAACAAATCCCAGGAGTGGGTGTTGAAACCCAAGGGCACCTGAGCAGAAACCGCCCAAAAAAAAGGAAAAAAAAAAAAAATTTTTTTGGCGCAGTCTATAGAGTGAGGACACAAGCAAAGGAATCGTATATTCCAAGCTTTGATGGAAAGAAGTATGAGACGGCAAACTTCCATACAAGTGAACGTGGCTTGCACCCAGATGCACACATGTTCTACACACAGGTAGAAAAAGAACCTGATGTGGTAGCAGCCATCATGACACAGTTTTCATTGAAGGCTTGACTCAAGGAGTGGAAGGAAAAAGAGCACGATGCAGCCTTTGCCGAGATGAAAAAGTTACATCTCAGGGATACCTGCCGTCCGAAGAAAATGGATGAACTCAGCGATATGGAACGCAAAAGTATCCTAGAGTCACACCTGTTCGTAAAGTTGAAAAGGAACGGGAAGATCAAAGGCCGTGCGGTTGCAGGAGGCAACAAACAGAGGACTTCATGTCCAAGGAAGACGCAAGCTCGCCAACAGTGTCGATAGAAGCATTGCTACTCTCCTGCATAATCGACCCGCTGAAGAGGAAAGGGTTGTGGCAGTAATTGACACCCCGAACGCCTTCATCCAGACAAGAGTGGAGGATGAAAAAGATATGGTATCATTAGAGTAAGAGGAATACTAGTAGACATGCTGTATGAAATAGCACCAGATGTCTAAAAACCGTTCGTGAACAAACTGGATAAGAGAGGCAACAAGCAGTTGTTACTGCAATGCTTGAATGCTATCTACGGCACTAGGGTAGCTAGCCTACTATACTACCGTAATTTCCGGAAGACGATGGTCCGTAACGGATTTAAGATTAATTCTTACGACCCATGTGTAGGCAACAGAATGGTGCACGGTAAGCAACAAACAGTCTGCTGGCATGTAGAAGACTGTAAGCTTAGCCACAAGGACTTGAAGGTTAACGACCAGATGATCAAAGTGCTTCGTGATGAATACGAAAGCATATTCGAGCACGGCACTGGAGAGATGACGGTGGGCCGAGGAAAGGTCCACACGAATCTTGGCATGACCATAGACCTCACGACGAAGGGTCAATACAACGTATCAATGTACAAAGTACTTTGATAAGATCCTGGAAGTCTTCGAGAAAGGGCATCGCCAGAGGAAGGGGGCACGAAACTAGAAGTAGTGCAGCCCGAAAGACTGTTCATAGTAGACGAATCATCAAGAAGCTCCCAACGATCAAGGCAGACACTTTCACAGCCTGGTGGCTAAAGTGTTATTCGCTACGAAGAGAGCCCAACAGACACAGGTACGGCGAAATCGTTCCTTACGACTAGAATCAAGGAACCAGATAGGCACGAATGGGATAAACTAGTCCACCTCATGCAGTACATTAGATGTACTAGAAAACTACCATTAGTTCTCAAAGCCGACGGAAGTGGCATATTGAAATGGGATGTTGATGGTTCCTTCGAGTCCATCCAAACATGAGGGGTCACACCGGAGGTGGTTTGACCATGGGCACCGGTACCCATTATCGACTTCGACGAAACAGAAGTTGAACACGAGAAGCTCAACTGAGAGTGAACCGTAGCAGTTGATGACCTGATGCCATCATCCTTTGGACGAGGCAGTTCCTTCGGGAGCAAGGCTATGTAGTTAAAGAAACTATAGTCTATCAGGACAACAAGGTGCCATTCTTCAGAGAAGAACGGCAAAGCTTCTAGTAGTAAACGAACGAAGCACATCAACATTAGGTCTTCTTTGTGAGCGACAGAGTCGCAAAAAGGAGATCAGTGTGGACTGTGTCCAACTGATGATATGGTTGCGGACTTCTGGACGAAGCCGAACCAAGGTCGACTGTTCAAACAGAACGTGGACAGTTGATGGGTGTTGGGAACACTCAGAGGCCAGGGCACTCAGAAGGAGGGTCACGGTCGGACAAGAAGGTCCGTTCAAAGAAGGAGCGCTAAGCGCAGTAAGTAAGTAAGCATGGTCGACGACTAGGACAAGCTCGACGACCACAGGAGTGTGTTGGGGATTCGCGATTAGGGATTCAACCTGTACCTCTGTACTAGAATTTGATGCCAGTAGCAAAAGCCAAGGAACCCACTTTTTCAGTAGTATCTCAATAGCAACAGTAAACTAGAAGAGAGCTTAGAGCAACTAACATAGAGGTGTACCGGTAGTATCTACAATGGTATTCTCCAATGATCCCACTCCTGAACTGAAACTCGGCCTGCAGTGACGGTTAATGGGTTCTTTGTCGAGCCTCGGTGCATTTCGGACATGGCTGTTTGTTCTGCTTGCCCACAAACAAGAAAATGGCTCATTTGCTTGTGTCATTTGCGAATATTTGAGTTATCAATGTCTGCTGCCGTGTCCATACCCCCCAAGAAAGTTGACCAGCCCACCGGTGTCTCTGGTGACAACAACTAGAAAAGTCAGAGCCTGTAAGTGTCGACTTTGCCTTGTTACATGGCGCTTATCTATCAAAAAAGCAAAGATCCCCCGGTTTTCCAGATAGCTAATCTGAGAATGATGCATATATTGTGTATTGTTTGCAAAACTCTTTATGACGACTCAACATGAACAAAACTGCGTCGAGGACCCTGGTTGAAGGAAGCCCCAGTAGACAGAACCATTCGCCACAATTCTGGTTCACTTGAGAGCGAAGTAAGTGATGATCGTCTTGCTCGTGTGGCCTCTTCAGTTTCTTTGTGTGGCTCGGTTTCCTCTTCCTCATCTTCGCGTTCGCTTTCATCAATCTCAGCGCCCATGGATTCGGAAAACGGAGCCGTGGCGGCTTGCGCCATGATCAAAAACAAGTTGCCGCTTTCCCTGGACTCTCCTTCTTCCTCAGACTTTTCTTTATGTTCGGCACAAAAGTATGAGCCGCAATCTTCCAGGATACCCTCATCCAATGACCTACATTCTGTTTGCAACCATGTGAAACCATAAACGGCAAGGACCGCAGCGGCAATCTTGACTGCGTCCGCAATGAAGACGTCCATGGAAAGAGCCTGGGCAAGGGTGGTGCTGATAGAAGCGATCATGTTGTTGTTGGTTTTGGCTTTGGTTTTCTGTTTGTTTTATGACAACAACTCGCATTGCCTCATTCATCCGAAAGGTTGCCAAAGAAGGATGAGCTGCATCCTTCTTGGACTCAGATACCGGTACTCGAGTTCCGGCAAATGGTTACAGTAGTCTACCAGTGACAAAGCAAAGAAAACATTGAAGAACGCTAAAAAATGCTGCATAAGCCTATGATACAATGCATGCCATTTGGAAAAACTATCCACGTCTCAAAGGCTGACGAAGACCTTTATCATATACAGCCCTTCTGGCTTATTCCAATCCAGGGACTGCGCTTTTGTCTCTGCTCAGAGAGCATAAAGTTAAAGCAAGTGTGCGTCTAGTAGAATGTACCGCGGAACCGATCTCAGTTTGCCCATTCTGGCATTCTTCATTCCTCTTTCCAACAGCACCATGACGAGCAGGGGTCGCTATTAATATTAGCTAGCTAGCAAGAACAGATGGTGACTACGCAAGTAGTGCATTGCTCATGTTTTCAATTTCCCTGACCCACCTCGCCATTTGTTTTTGCGAAGATTTCACAGCTGTATGAGTCATACGATTTAGCAAAGAGCGACTGGATTAAATAAATTTTACCAATGTATAAGGGGGGTTAGAGTATGGGAATTATCTACTGAGTGTAGACAATAGCCACACAGAATACCATTGCATGCATGCATGCAAAGCATGCCTACCGGTAGCTTTATGAGTCTGGCTATAATCTGTTGTGCTTTGCCGCCAGCATTATAGTCGCATTCATCAAATCAAGTCCCTTCCACTCTCCAAAGTAGACTATGTTGGTGTTATCTAGTACTAGAGTAGTATCTACAATGCATGGGGGTGGTTTCGGAGTTACCTCTATGATCGCTTGATCTTGAGAATGACAATTGGATGGTACGAGATAGTGCTAAAAGATCTTCCGCCGGGTTCGACGCTTCTCGACGTCGGAATCGGCACGGCAGGAGCTCTTATTGCTTGTGAATCGCTGCTTCGAGCTAAACGATTGCGGGTGGTGGGAATGGACTACGATGATCAATACATTCGTCAGGCAGAAATTGCCATCCAAAAGGCCGATTTGACGGATTGCATTCAAGTGGTGGCAATGGACTTGTACGATTTGCAAACAGAAAAAGGAAAATTACCGCCCAAGCTACTGCCACCACTCTCCGATGCACGTGGTTCCAATGACAGACTCTTTGATGCCGTCTATTTCTCGGGATCCTTCTCACTCCTCCCCGACTGGACAGCGGCTTTGATGATTGCAGCTTCTGCGTTGAGCCCAAGTGATGGCAAAATCTACATTACGCAAACCTACCAAAAGCAATCATCCTGGTTCTGGAGCTGGTGGAAACCTTGGCTCCGATATATCACCACCATCGATTTTGGACAGTTGGTGACGGCCAATCGCATTCAAGAGTTCTATCGGGATCATGCCAACGGCAATGGATGGAATCTCTTGTGGCACGAAAAGATCCCAGGGAACGTGGATAATCCCTGGCAAGCCGCGTATGGGACATGCCTGCAAGTTAATTGATTGATGGATAGATGGATTCTCTCTCGACAATGACGGTAGCTCTAGCTAGCCAGACAGATAAGTATCGGTATAGAACAAAGGTCACGTTTACATGTATGTTACGCTCCGACCGCCAGGGCGGCTAAACAGACAGACATCTCCGTAGGACAAGAACTTGAATCCTTTCTCTTGGGCGTCCTCGTAGATTTCTTTGATGGTGAAACCACTTCCGACGTAGGCAGAGACAAGCAGCATCAAGGTGGAATCTGGTGCGTGGAAATTTGTCACCAGATGATCAGAGCACTTGAAATCGTAGTGGCCCGGAGTGATCATCAAAGACGTCTGTCCTGTCACAAAAGCGCCATCATCCATGCCAGCAACCAAAGCTTCTAATGCTGCTTCTCGTGACACGATCTTGCCTTCACCAACACTCAGCGGGGCCCACTCAAACTGACCCAGATTCAAACCTGCAGAGTCGCCATCGTCAAGACCACGGATTCGCTTTACGCCCATCCAGAAAAGACTTTCCAACGTACGAGCAGATGATTCCACTTTTAGGTCAAGTGGAGCTACTAGACTATAGCAAGATCATGTCAATATGGGCTCAAGAAGAAATGGGATAGCCGGTATTTCCGCACTACCCATATGTACCCACACTTGGAAGTACTCCGCACGCTGGGCGATCCCGGTCTCTCCAACTGCACGGACACCCCGGGGCAACGGATCCAAGATCGATTCTGGGCCATGCACTCCTACCGTCCGAGGCGCCGACGGCTTCGTACAGCGTCGTGTGGCAGGGATCAACAAGCGGGAAGCCCGGAAGGACGAGATCTACGACATGGTCGCTGGCGTCCCACTCAAAAGGGGACGGGCGAGGTGATGCATGTCCACTACAGGGAATGGGATATCAAGGCAGCGAGTTGGGATAACTACTATTGTATGTAGGTAAAATGTTAGGGGGATCTTCTACTGGCCGACGAGAAAAGACAGTTCTGGGCCCATGGGCACTGGACACGTCCTCCAGAAGGACCGGCGTAACAACCCAAGTCCGCTCTCTTCCTCAAAATCTCCACTCCCGTCATCATAACGCGGGTAGTAGGGACCAGGTACACAACAAAGCATGCATTTCATCAATACCTTGTCTCCAAATTTATCCATCTTCCAACTCAATAAAATATCCTCCGACAACCATCCTCAACCAAATACCTCCTCCTCACTTGCCATCACGGCCACCCCCTCCTTGGGGCTTCGAATTCCTCCGCCTCTTTTTCTTCTTTTCTATGTTCTTCTCCGACGACGATACCCGACGACGTTCTCCGAAGAACGGTCACGACGAACCCGAGCGCCGGCGCATGAAAGGGGCGCCCAGTTGACGCCTCCTTGGCCTCCACGCTCCTCCCAACGACCCTTCAACACTTCCAAAGCGTCCGGATAGAACTGAGTCAGGAGTGATGCCAGCCTGCACCGAACATGAACTGCTCGGCTGCAGCCGCGGCACATGGCCGGATCCAAACCAGCTTACGTGCGCTTGAACCAAAGCATCACGACGAGCGGGCAACTGACGATGGTGTTCGGTCAAAAATGGATGGCCAAGGACCTCACCTCCCCACGTTTGTGCTCCGCAACACCGACGTTCATACCGTTTCCCCACCTCGATGGTTGTGAAAGGAAAAGTTCAAGGCCGGGTTCGTGAAGCAACGCTGGCCAGGGGCATACGTGGTAGCATGGTTGTCGCGGCTGTTGCAAGAAGTTGGCCTCAGCCGCCACCCCACTACCCAATGGATCTTCCAGGGACGCTCCATGGCGGGCTGAATCCACGCCTCCAAATACAATAGGGGTCTCCCGGGAGCGAATGAGGGCCACCTCCCACAGAGGGTGACACGAGGATTGTTGTCGGGATCCGCCTGAAGAGCCATCGCAGTCTGAGGCACCGGGAAACCACACCCACGAACAGGAGGCGAAGACTTGGGCTGCCAAGCAGCAGGACCCACTGGCGTGGAGACAGGCTTGGGCTTAGCGGCAGGTTTGCGTGGCTCGGGCACTGCCACTTCTACACCTTTGGGAGCGGGCTTGGCCTTGGGAGCTTTCACTTTCTTGCCCCCCGACTGAGCTTTACGCACCAGCTTCGCCTGTTTCTTGGTAGAACCACTCTTGGCCTTGCGCGGAGCAGCAGCGACCGCGGGAACACCAGGAGTGGGGCCTGCCACGTTGGAGGTTTCAGGCGTGGGACCCTCCGGAGTCGAGACAGTTGCAGGGAGGAGGAGACTGCGCAGGGAACCTGAGGGGGAACTGATTCCCACGGCGTCGAGCCGTCTGTACCATGCGAGGAGCCAGACCAGCCGCGGCAGGAACAGCTGGAGACGTCAACGTAGATGACGCCACGGTGGCCCGACGGACGGGAACGGGCACTTCTGGGGGAGGAGACTTCACGCCCACCACCACGGGCTCCTCGTCTTCGTCCGACGCTTCTTCCTCGAAGTCCTCGTCGGACCCATCATCATCCTCCCTCCTCTTCTTCAATCGGACTCCCAACAGGATGGAGCCGGGGCGACAAGTGGCGGCGGGTTGTCATCATCGTCGGCGTCTTCCTCTTCCATATCCTCAAGGTTGGAGCTATCAGAGACGGCCGTGGAATTGTTGCCCGAAGGGGCGGCGGAAGCTTCAGGAGCAGCATCTTCGGTAGGAGGCTGCGCAACGTTCATGGCAGCACGTTCTTCAGGGGGCAAACTTTCAAGGAAGGCGTTGCCAACAACTTCAGCTAGGAAACAGTGGGACTTTCGAGTAGCAACTGCACTTGGGCTGCTTCGACATTTTTTGTGAGCACCACAACAACTACTGCTTGCACCACCCGTGAAGACTACCGTTGCCAACCTGCTCTACGCCATCAACTCCATCATCTCACTCAACGAAAGTGTTTCGCTACGAGGACGACATCACTGGGAGAGGGTTTCGATGGGATCCATTTGTGTCAACAGCAGAAAAGGTTACCACTCGATACGGCAAGCGATGGAAGTATCGATCACTATCATCACGCTGTCCCACCGAGAGTTCGCGTTGGACACATCGAAAGAACTCTCGGCTGGCCCGCTCACATCGGCGACAAAATTATTTATGGCGGATTTCAGCGAAGAAGCCACCGTTGACACGGCACGACGGGCATCCCAGTCATTTAAAGAACACCACGCCGCGCGTCAACCGCGCTGGACGGGTGGCCCCAGACCACTCAAATCCTACGGTCACACCAAGTGCCGGTCCTCACTTTACAAAAAACGGACCAATACAACTGCAATCGATCTCCACAACACCAACACCTAGTCCACCATGAGCGACTCAGAGACATGGTACGATACCTGTGACGACTTGGAACTACTCACCGAACAGGTCAAGACATCTCAGACTCGTGTACCTCGTGCAAGACGACCTGGCGTTCTCACGGCACGAGTGGCCAAGTTAGAGCTGGAAGCCAAACTGCGGCGGCAACAACCACTCCAACACCATCCGCGCACCAACCACCGGCTCAGCCCCGCAAGAACCGTGCCTTCGTCAAACCATACCGCGAGTGGAAGAAGGGTGACCGCATCATCATCTCCCGCAACGACAATACAACGGACGGAAGGGTACCATCCAAGGAGCCCGCCCTGGCAGATGGCCGTTCTGGGACATCAAGCTGGACCCCAAGGTGCCTGGCGGGTATCAAATCGACGTATACAAGACCGACACCGGCTTCCGCTTGATGAAGCAGGTAACTCTACAGCGGGGTCGGGACATAAAAAAACGCAAGCAAACACACCAACAGCAGCAAACAACAGCAACACGCAAAGCTCGCACCTCCCTGGCAGTCGGCGGGGTAATGGCCGGCTTGGCCGGCCGACACGGGGGATTATATCTATGGTCAGTCATAGGGTCTGGCTCCGACGGAGGTAAATTGGATGGAAGTGTCTGTCTGTGATACATGCAGCAGGCCTCTCTGGTATAACCAGGGCCATTGCCTTTCCTGGATCCTAGTCTGGAGGGAGTTTACAACCTCTATAGACCCATATTGACATGATCTTCTATAGTCTAGTAGCTCCACTTGACCTAAAAGTGGAATCGCCCACTTCCCAGACAGGGAATGAAGAAGATTCTACAGAACGGAGAGTATGAGTTAACAGGGAGCCGACCATAAGGGAGACTGACGGACAGAATCCGGGAGAGCCACTCATCCAAGGATGAGGTGGTGGACGAAGTGTCGGGTGCACAGGTGGTGTGCCTATGTGGTGTTGATGACTAGCTAGAAGGACTACTAATCGGGCGGCTACAAATCAGGTTCACTTTTTCTGAACCAGAGTTGCAGCCGCCCGACACCAATTTTCCTTTTTCCCTTCCTCCCGCCCGGGTAAATTGGATGGAAGTAGGTCTGTCTGTGATACATGCAGCAGGCCTCTCTGGTATAACCAGGGCCATTGCCTTTGCCTGGATCCTAGTCTGGAGGGGAGGTTTACAACCTCTATAGAATATTGACATGATCTTGCTATAGTCTAGTAGCTCCACTTGACTAAAAGTGGAAGACCCATATTGACATGATCTTGCTATAGTCTAGTAGCTCCACTTGACCTAAAAGTGGAATCATGTGAATGATTTTCGATTCGATTCGATTCAATCTGATCATCGAATGATTCGATTCGATTCAGGATTGAAGATCCGGTCGAATGTCAATCGAGTGATTCAATCGTTGTCTTGATGCAAGTCTCGTACCGTTCCACTGAAAACATTAACCTTGTCCTACAACAATTCGGCGCTGCCTACTCTTGAATCCGTTGCCACTTTTTGCTCCTTCACATCCGCGTCGAAAGGCAACAGTGTTGTCGTCTCAATCTTTCGTCGACCGTGTCGCCCATCCCTCACGTTTGCCCCGTTAGCCTTTGATTACATCCTTTACAAGACAAATGTCATCTTTTATCAGCGATGATGAGGAAGAAGTCAATACAATTAGCAGCAAAGAAGATTGGGAAAGCCAAAGTAGCAACAACAGACGAGATTTGGAAGAAAGGCTTCAAGCTTCCAGGCGACCAAACTCAGCAACCGCTCAACAGAGCTTTGGAGGCTCCGAACTATGGAACTATAGTCAAGCTGCCCCAGGACAGCGGTCGGGCGCGGTACAAGGGCAAGGTATACTTCGAAGGCTCAACAACACCAACAACGCCAAACCCAGCGCTCGAAGAGATGAGTTTCCACTTAGCAAGGAGCAGTTCAAGAGCCTGAGCGACGATGCCAAGATCAAAGCCTATCTTGAACTGAAGAGGGAGTATTACCGACAACTTCACTCTCTTCCTAACTCACAGTTCGTTGCGCCAGAGCTGGGCATCGAAGCAAAAGGGTCATTCGAGTCTGAAAACAGCGGCGTCTGTTCCCTCTTGGACCAGGGTGGTTTTGGTACCGTGTACAGAGCCGTGGACTCCATTGATAAGAAAGAGGTTGCGCTAAAAATCATCATGCTTCGAAGCGACATCGATGCCAAAGCAGCCAAGAACGAGTGCCGTATCCACGCACGGCTCCCGAACCATGACCAAATAGTCTGCCATTACTCTTTACGCTTTGTCAGTGTCCTAAAGAATGGTGGTCGGGAGACGAGTGCGCTCATCACGATGGAACTCTGCAAGGAAGGGAGTTTGAAGCGCTATCTAGATCCTAATACCGTCGCCTCCAGCGTTGCTGGCCTTTCCGCTCGCCTTCGGCAATCTTTTCTTATCCTCGGTGATTGCATGGACGGTCTGGCAGCTATGCATGCACTGCGATACGTTCATCGGTAAGAACTTCGACCAAGACGCAGATAATCAAATCGATCCATGGCTACTTTCGAACGACACTAACCAGTCCAAATTCTGGAACACTCAGGGATTTGAAACCCGCGAACATTCTTCTGGTAAAAGATGGCGCAACCGGCTTTCTACGGGCAAAGCTAGGTGATTTTGGTCTTAGCGCCGAGTAAGATCTTCATATTGTTGATGCACGCAGCCGCATTGAATCTGGGTCTCACCTTTACTTCGCTTGGCCTTTTCCTCCGACAGGGTTGGCACAAAGCCCGTTAGTGGCGGAACTCCGTTCTTCTCGGCACCGGAGCAGTTTCAACGTGAAACAGTCTGTAAAACGTCTGCGGATGTAAGCATACGAGTGCTGTCTGCTTACTGTCATTTTTTCTATTGGGAAGATCGACTTACAAACATGTATTCCATTTTGCAAACAGGTTTACTCGCTCGGTGCAGTCTTCTTTGTGACATTCCGGAGTCCAGTGTGCTAGAGCGTCGCATCGAGAAGGGTGTTTCTGAGCTTGTAACGGCATGCAATTGGCCCACTAACACGGCTTGGAAAGATCGCGTATTCAAACAAATCAAGGACATGACTCAGGCCAAACCTACGCCGCGCCCCACGCTCCAACTAGTCAAGAAGAGATTGAAGGGCTTCACGGACGGTCTACGAAATCCGCATTTCCGCTAAGGCAAGAGTAAGATATCGGTGCAGATCAGATCGCAATTTTGGAAAGGACGGAGCAAATCAAACTACGGCGGGACAACATCAAAGGACGGAGCACATGAAACTATTGCTGGACTGAGTGTCCGGCCGAGTATAGATAAGTACGCACAATACATAACTAGAAGAATCTAAAAGTCCCGATAGCTCCAGCTTCCTGTGATCCTCGTGCGAAACAGGTGCAACGTTCGTACCGTACCGGTAGAAGCATGCAGGCATCTTTGCTTTGTCTCCGAAACGTTCAAAAGCTTGCCCCGTGTTGAGCATTTAGTACCATACATAGTCATGACCACCAAGTGCTTTCAAGTGGCTGGCTCGTACGGTACCTCTTTTGCATCGTGTTTCCAAGATAGCATTTGAGGGTGCGTGGACGCGTGGAAGCCCTCACAAGCATTCTCATCATGTATGTCCCACATCAAGGCAGAGCGAGTCAAATGGAGTGCGCTGGAATCGAATCACTCCTTCAACCTTTTTGGGTTGTGGGTCGGTGGGTGGATATCATGCCTTACTTGAAAACGGACATGTCTTTTGGGTTGGGAGCGACGTTGGTAGGGAGTGTGAATTCAAACAACAAGCAATTTGGAACACACCGTACCGTACTGTCAAGTCAAGGTGCCACATCCACTGCATGCCAGGGCAACAACAAGGAGTGGATGGATGGATGGATGGACGGATGCACCCAAGAAGAATACAGTAGTGAGAAGACATCCACAGCAACAAACAAACAAACTAACTAACTGTGAATAATGTAAGATTTGCTTCCTATTTATTCTGCACCAAACAACTTTCTTCTTTTATGAAAGGCAGATCCGAAAAACGAAATCCAAACGTTTCCCGGAACCTGTCGCTCGCTCGATCCTCCACCAACTAGAGTTTCCGCACCAAACAAAAAAACAACTTGGATCAGGCACTGCAAAAGCCAAGCATGCATGCACGAGGATGGAAGATGGAAGCAAAGACGAAAGGACAAGATTCCTTGGTGCCAAAGGATGACAAAAGACTTCGAGCTTTTGAAACGGAACTTGCTTTCTTTTTGTGTCAAGTGTCAAGTGAGTCGAGTCGAGTCCAGACCGAGCGAGCTCAGTCACTCACTGTTCCGCCACGTCGGGCGGGGGATCGGGCGCGAGAAACCGTGACTCAATTGGATCCTCCAATGGATCTCTCGCGACCGTCCAAAAGACCAGAGGCTTGCACCAAAAGAGAAATAGGAAGAGACACAGACAAGAGTGCTCTATCATAGAAGAGGTCTGCAACCCATTGACTTGATTTGACCTGATCTGAGTTGATCAATTGATCTGCCATGCCCTCCTCTACATATCCTTACAGTCGAGCAGAAGAATGTTCGTGGCAACCAGAAGAGTTGGCGCGTCATTTGGCGTCTTTGGCGACCACTGGCAGTACCAGCACTAGCATTGCCAGCACAACCCACTTGTTGAGCCACGGTTGGTCGTCTCGTCAAGTCCCGTGTCTCCGAGAACTGTACGGCAGCAACAACATGACGGGCGATGAAGACGATGACGAGAGCAAAAAGTCCATTATGCAGACTGTGGTATTACCCGTCTTGTCGTCGCTGTCGGGACAACTCAAGGAACCCTTGATTGGCATGCTACTAGTATCGGCGGGGATTTCTGTCATTTTGGGAAATTATGCCGATGCCATTTCCATTGCCATTGCATTGCTTATAGTCTCGCTGGTGGCCGCCATTCAAGAATATCGCAGTGAACGCGCCATGGAACAGTTGGCCCATTTGGTGCCTCACAATTGTACGGTCTTACGAGATGGACAAGTCAAGGATGAATTTCCAGCCAAACATTTGGTTGTGGGAGATCTGGTGCTGTTGGCGACTGGAGAGTAAGTGTGTTACAAACAACATCAATACAAAACAATACATTGTTCAGTGATCTCAGGCTCATTCTTTGTCATTTTTTGTCTTGTCATTTTTTGTAAACAGCCGCGTCCCGGCGGATTGTCGTGTCGTGGATTCCGTGGAATTGCAAATCAACGAAAGTGCCTTGACGGGAGAATCGGTGCCCGTCGAAAAATTGGGACAAGGTATTGTCACACCGACCCAATCCCCCGCACTCACGGATCAAACCAATATTTTATTTGCCGGCACTCTTGTCAATGCCGGACGGGGTCGTGCCGTCGTCATTGCCACTGGCAGCAACACCGAATTTGGTAAAATCACACAAGAATTGTCCACCATGACGAGTCGCAAATCGCCACTCCAAATCAAAATTGATGAACTCAGTCAACGATTGGCGGGATTTTCCACCGCCGCCATTGTCGTCATTGCTATTTTGGGATGGATCATGGGGCGACCGTTATTGGAAACATTGACTGTGGCCGTCAGTTTGGCGGTGGCGGCCATTCCAGAAGGATTGCCGATTTGTGTCACAGGTGCGTGCGTACGTGAGAACAGAACAAGACAAAAACAAAATCAAAAACAAAATCAAAGTGATCGTAGTAATCAGCCACAATCCACCACCACTCACACAGCCATTTTTGATTGATTGAATAAAGTCACCTTGGCACTTGGTACGCTTCGAATGGCCAAAAGAGATGTCATTGTCAAACAGTTGCCTGTCGTGGAATCATTGGGGTGTTGTACAGGTGAGTGGCACATACATGTATTATATTGGCTACTAGTTTGTTTGGTTTGCCCAGTTTTTCGTGTGGTTTTGTCTTTTTGAGTTTGTCATGGACCCATCCATTCATGGAGAACAAGAGTTGACAAAAACACCAAAACAATTCACAATCCTCTTACCAAAGGTTCACTGTTGTTTTATCCATCCTTACTTACTTACTTACTTACCCACTCGCACACATGTAGCCATTAATTCCGACAAGACTGGTACACTCACCAAAAACGAAATGACGGTCCGAGCCATTTTCACATTGGCGTTTCCAGATACCAAATTTGGGCTCACGGGGGTCGGATATAAACCGTCCGAAGGAATGTTAATGTTTGGAAGAATCACAACGCCCCAATCTACTCCTCAAATTGTCGATCCCAATGGACACCAACGAAATGCGTTGCAGGCACTCTTTCATACGGCCTGTCTCTGCAACAATGCCACTCGTGTTCAAGAAAATAGTGACTTGTCATTATTGGATGACAACGCACCGGGAAGATCACTCTCGGGACAACCCACCGAATTGGCACTCTTGGTAGCATCCGAAAAGGCTGGATTTCCCGATTGTCGGGCACAATACACACGGTTGCAAGAGACACCCTTTTCGAGTGAACGCAAAATGATGGAAGTACGGGCACGACCCGTCAGTGGACGCCACACGTGTGACGCATTTGCCATTGCTTCGGCGTCGAGCAACAGTGGCAGTCCACGACAACGGAGAGCGTCCATGGACGGCAGCATGTTTTTTGTCAAGGGCATGCCGGAAAAAGTATTGAGTGAGTGTACCACACACGTCACGCCCGACGGAACCACCAATGCACTTGGCGAAGATGGAAAAAATCAAGTTCTCAACCAAGCACGACGCATGGGTGCCAAGGGGTTGCGGGTGCTGGCCATGGCGTACGGGCCGTCGCTCGAGTGTCTGACATTTGCCGGGATTTGTGGAATGGAAGATCCACCCCGAGAGGGTGTGGCGGATTGTGTCCGGGATTTGCGACGTGGTGGAGTCAAGGTGAGTTAGTGTTGTCTTTGCGCGCTCGCTATGCAGTGCCTTTGTGGAGCCGGGATTCTTGGTTGCTCATCATTCTTGCTTGCACTTTCAACAAGGTTATCATGGTGACGGGTGACTCGAAGGAAACGGCACTGCATATTGCCCATCGGTGTGCCATTCTAGGATCGGAGCATGACGAAGCCCCCGCTCATTTTGATGACATTCTCTCGTCTCCATCGAACGATTCGGCACACCGATCGCAGCTTGCCAAACTTCATGACATGGAACTAGGGCACTCTGTCGCTATGAGTGGCTCAGAGCTCGACGTGATACCGCCGCGCGATTTGGCCAACACATTGGTGGATGTGAGAGTCTTTTATCGTGTTGCTCCGCGCCACAAGCTGGCCATTGTGCAAGCTCTGCAGGCTAGTGGTGAAATCGTTGCCATGACAGGTCCGTGCATATTGAATGAATGACTCGTTGATTCATGCATATTTTGTGCATTGCATGCGTGCCCGACTCATTCCTCATCGTTCGTTCCTTGTGTCTTAGGTGATGGAGTGAACGACGCAGTGGCCTTGAAGGGGGCTGACGTTGGTGTGGCAATGGGAGTAAGTTGGCTCTAGTTTGATGAATTCTTTCGCGCTCTGCAGATGCTATAATATCTCATTGGCCCCTCCATTATTTTTCGTGTTCCAAAGACGGGAACGGACGTCTCGAAGGAGGCTGCAGACATTGTTCTGGCTCGAGACGACTTTCAGTCTCTGTCATATGCTATAGCAGAGGGCAAAGGTGAGCAACAATATTGTGCCCCACGAGAATGGAATCGACGATTTACCTCACCCGTTCTAAATCCACACAGGCATATTCTTCAACATTAGGGCCTTTCTTGCATTCCAGCTGTCCACGTCGTTTGCAGCACTTACTATGGCAAGTGTAGCGACCGCTTTTGGACTGCCAACGCCTCTGAATGCCATGCAAATTCTCTGGATCAACATCATCATGGACGGTCCTCCCGCTCAATCGCTTGGGGTGGAACCCGTTGATTCCAAGATCTTGACTGCAAAACCGAGGAAAGCGGACGATCCTATTGTAACCCGTGCTCTACTCCTTCGAGCCATCAGTAGTGCTGCAATCATTGTGTTTCTGACACTCAAAGTTTTCGCGAATGAATTGGATGATGGCAAGACTTCAAGGCGCGACACAACAATGACATTCATGACCTTTGTGAACTGGTAAGTCTGTCGCCATCACATGCAGCCCTAATGGCACGGCCCGTCAAACACCCGTACCTCATGCCGTTCTTTGGTGGTTTAAAACCCAGTGACCTGCTCAATGCCTATGTTTGTAGGTCAGCCGACAGATGTTTCTATGAGATTGACTTCTTCAGCAACCCTGCATTCCTTTGGGCTATTGGAGGAAGTATCGTGGGACAATTTTGCGTTATCTATGTCCCATTCCTGCAGGAAGTGTTTCAAACTGAGGCGCTGACCCTTCACGATCTTCTCTACATCATCGCGTTGAGCACTAGCATCTTGTGGTTCGACACCCTTCGTAAAAAGTTCTTCCCAACAGTGTTCAGTGATGGCTTCAAGCCAAATCCCAGATCGAAGAAGGAAGACGACCCGATTTCTCCCAGACGGAACAAGTCTTGGTTGGATTTCCGACGGTTTACTGGTGACGACAAGAGCTTTGCGCAACCAAGGGGCCAAACACTACGAGGACGGAAGGCGAACACAGCTCTGGCGCTGTGATGAAATCCATTAAAATAACCTCAAGATTCTCGCTGCTTTAGAAGGTTAGTACTGGCACGTTTACTATTTCGCTAGCTAGTTACCTGGGCAAGGGTTGCAATCACATCCACAGAGATGATTCCCATCGCAGACTGTTTTGTTTGATTCCACTTTGGAAAAGGAGCCTGCTGATTTGCCCAAGCATCGCTCATACATTTTGATCTGGAGACTCTGCAGTTGACCAAACTCAGTTGGAAATGAGCCATCAATGTTTGTTGCACCCAAACCTAATTGTTGGAAGGAGAACATCCTGAGATGCTAATGTTGCTGTAGTTGTGGACGTGGTGGTTGACTGCTCTTAGTTGCCTCGCAGCTCCACATCTTGTGGCACTGAAAAAGGTTTCTTCTTGTTGTGATTCTGGTACGGCGGGCATTGCCGGTACCGGTACCAGAATTACGGTTTCCTGGCTTATTGGGCTGAACAACCAGCAGCAAACCAACGTTACGAGCATGCACGGCATTGAGCCAAAAGATTCGATTCTGTTTGATCTATTTTACCGTGGTAATGTCTAGTCTAGTACCGGCCGGGTAGACAGGATGAACTTGGACGAACCCTCGAAAAGCCAATCCGCTTCTGTCCAGCGGCTTCGAGCGACGCAGTTCTGGGGCGTCGTGCTGCACGTTCCAACGACCATATTTTCGGATGGGATGCCCGACCTGACGGGAATTCCTCCCGGTACTAGCTGGTAGCTGGCTAGTCGATGGATTTTGTGCTGGCTTTTGGCTTTTTGGTGCTCGCTTTGGTGTTGTTGGACTTCTTTTTTGTGGTGCTCGTGCTGTATTTTGGATTGTTGGTTGTGGTGCTGCTGGGATCCTTCTTGTTGGTGCTTGCCCTTGTGACGACACCGGGTTTTGTGTCGGATGCTGCTTTTGCGTTGTTGACAGCTTTTGTTTTTGATTTGGCAGTTGCATTGGTCTTTGTGCTAGATTGTGATTTGGGCTTTTTGGGTTTGGTGGATTGTTTTGGCTCCTCCGTGTCGTTGTCGGGTGACTTTTGGTATTCCACTTCTACATCTCCCTTTTCCATGCCTTCTTCGTCCAATTGCTTGGCCAGTTCCAGCTGCTTCATTTCATAAGGCCGTCCTCCCAGCAAGGAAGGATAGCAGCCACAGCATTTGGACAAGATACCGCTGAACATGATTGTTCCGAAAATGGGATAGTAAATGATGTAGGTGAGGACCAGCTCGACAAAGTAGCTGACCACAAAGAGGTAATCTTCAAAATTCTGGTCCTTGTAGAGTGATTCCAACTGTTCTTGGACAAGAATGTGTGATTCCAAAATATTGGGAACATCACTGGCCGCCATAATGGGAGCATCTCCGTCAGTGAAGTTGCCGGTGGCGTTGATGCCGAGCTCCTCCAAGAATTCAGCCATTATGGGAGAAGTGTAGTTGGTGCCATTGGTGTCATTGAAAAGTGGACTAAAGTCAAACTCAATGGTGGTATTGCTGGAATCCAAAGCCGCTCGCAGCATGACTGCAAAGGAGGTCACCGCCATAATGACAATGACAATGAGAGTCGTCAGGAAGGCCCCTGATTTGCGACAAATATTGGCGGCTTTGCTGTCGGCGTGTGTGAATTGAATACAGGCACATCCCGCAAGTAGCCATGCAAAACTGTCGTAGAGTCCGTGGATTGGTGCTCCCAAGAACCACAACACCAAATTCCCAGTGGTGACCGAGACCTGGGATATAGCACTGTCCAAGTCACTATTCCCCACTGTGAAATTGGCAGTGACTTGCAGCAGTGCCTGATCCGAGTCTTGATCCACAAAGACAAAGGCACAGTAGACAATACTCGTCATGGCCAATCCAAACAACATGCTGCCAAAGAGACTAATGGCCCGAATCTTCCAACTCAGCGGATGGTACTTGTGATGCAAACAAATGCCAAACACGGGATGATTGTTGGTTTGATACTGCCACCAGTCTTGCATCAAATTGTTGCCTGGCAAATGATAGGCATGCTGGAGTAAATAGGGGACAATTTCATCCCGTTCGCGTCGTTCTTCGGCTGTCAATCCCTTTGTGGCCTCGTCTTCGGGTTCGTCTTGGTGCTCTTCCACTGGCATTCCCTCTTCCACATCCGGTGGAGGACTGATCTCGCTGGCTAGTGTGGCCAACTTTCTCTTGCTGGGCTTTCGAGTAGATTGCTTTGCCATGGTGGTCCTGTTACAGTACACTTGCTTTATGTGGCTCAAAATTGGTGTTGAGTTGTGGGAGCTGGTTTTGTCGACTTGTGATGGAGCTGCTGGTGAGGGGTCTTGCCGTCTTGCCCCTTTGAAATTCGCTTGATCATTCCGAATGAGAGTTGCACGACTCAGTACGACTGCTGCCAATAGTCTTTGAAAGCCTCGTAGTCTGTGTGCGTACTTTCCACTTCGGTACCGTTTAAAAACATTTCGGGTTGGTTTCGGACCACTTCCCCACCAAGCAAGAATGAGGCCAGGCGCGACACCATCCAAAAATGACAAATTCGGTTTTGCATGACATTTCGGTTCCAGAGCTTCCATTTGAAATTCACTGGAACATTGGGAATCAATGGTTGACCGTTGGACGACCGTAAGTCAATGCCGGTATTATGTCATAGGAGTTAGAAGGCTTTTCCGGTGTTCCCGTTTCGGGTTGGTTTCGGAACCATGCTCCAATTATTTTGGAGAATTCGTGTAGCCTCTAGTAGTAATTCTACGACAGGTTGAAGTTTTCCTTGGGTTTGTCGCAAGTGATGTGTAAACGCTCACAATTTACCTACTTAGGCGTTACATGATGACTTGTAAATGGTCACATTTTACTTACTTAGGAAGCACAGTTAGCTAGCTTAACGGCCGTTAAGTTACTTAGCGTGAAATTGTCACATGGTTCCAGAAGATACGCCCTTCCCCCTCCTGTGGCTCACTGCCGGGAGCTCGCCCGGCCGGCTTCGACTTAAATGTCAAGCAGCCTAACGGCTTTCCATTTAAGTCTCATCCGGCCGGGCTCGCTCCCGTTCCAGTTCGCCACCAGTTGGTGGAAGGGCGTTCCTCTACAGAACAACCATGCGGCAAAATTGAAGGGTACTAGCTAGTACGTCTACCAGGATGGTGGACGTACAACAATGTCAAAGCACCATGAGAGATGACAAGCCCACGCTATCTCTGGTGGTGATTGGCCATGTGGATGCTGGTGAGTAAATAGATGAAGAAAGAGGGAGAACGGCCATGAGGTGTCACCCAAGATCTGGTTTTTCGTGCACTCACTAATTTCCTGTCTGTCTACTTCGATCATTGCCACAACAGGAAAGTCCACCACCATTGGCCACTTTGATTTATAAAATGCGGAGGTAAGCAATCGACTGGATAGAAGCAACTGGTCACTGAATTTGAATCCTCAAAATCCAACCTACCTTGACTATCAGGGATTAGCGAAAAGCAAATTGAAAAGTACGCAAAGGAAGCAGCCGAACTTGGGAAGGGATCTTTCAAATATGCCTGGGTATTGGACAATCTCAAGACAGAGCGAGAAAAAGGGGTCACCATTGACATATCCCAGTGGAAAGTGCAGACAAGCACCTACATTTTTTCCATTATTGATTGCCCAGGTCACCGGGGTAAGCGCCATTCGTGCCTGTTTTGAAGGACTGCCAATAAATAAATGATACTGAATGTCTTGGATACCTGCTGGCTGTGTTCCATGCCACTGCAAGATTTCATCAAGAATATGATCACCGGGACCTCCATGGCCGACGTGGCCTTGCTTTTGGTGGATGCCAGTTAAGAAGGCTATCAAGCTGGATTTCATCAAGACAGACAGACTCGAGAACATGCCCTCTTGGCATACACACTGGGTGTCAAGCAACTGATTGTGGCTTGCAACAAAATGGACGACAAGACAGTCAATTACGGGGAAGAAAGATTTCAAAAGATCAAGGACGAAATCTGCGCCTATTTGTTGAAAAAGGTAGGATACAAACCCATGGTAATCCTATTCATACCCATTTCAGGATGGGAAGGCGATAACATGGTCGAAAAATGCAACAATGTGCCATGGTCCCACGGTCCGACTCTGTTGGAAGCACTCAACAATCTCACATCACCAAAACGATCCACTGAAAAACCACTTCGTATACCCATACAAGACGTTTACAAGATTGGTGGCATTGGAACCGTCCCTGTTGGAAGGGTGGAAGCGGGAGTGGTACGGCCAGGCATCATAGCCAAATTTGCACCCGTGAGTCTCACGGCTGAAATCCAATCCGTGGAAATTGCACCATGAACAACTACCAGAAGCTTTCTCTGGTGACATTGTCGGTTTCAATGTGAACAAGTTGTCTGTGCGAGACCTGCAACGGGGATATGTTGCTTCGGATGCCAATATTCAACCTGCCAGTGCTGTCAAGTCGTTTGAGGCACAAGTGATTGTCATGAATCACCCCGGCAAAATCTACAATGGCTACTGCCCTGTGGTGGACTGCCATACAGCACACATTGCATGCAAATTCATTCACATTAAGGAAAAGAATCACAGAAGATCTGGCAAAGTTTCGGAAGCAGATCCTGAGTACATAGAAACGGGTGATGCTGCCTTGGTGGTAATGGAACCCACTCGACCAATGTGTGTGGAAGCCTTCAGTGATTTCCCTTCTTTGGGACGGTTTGCCATTCGAGATATGCGATGAACAGTGGCTGTGGGAGTGATCAAGAGCATCACCAAAGAAGAACCACCCTCCAAGTTTGATTGCATGATGTGCTAGCTAGTATACAAGAGAACGATGACATTGCATCAACTCACGGCTTGTAATGACTGAATCTAGTCAAGCCCACTACTGTAATCAGTTCTTTGAAAGTACTTGTTCCAAACAACATGTACCAAGACCAAGAGTCTTACGGACGTTAGCCCTTTCTTGGCGCGCGAACCAAAGTAGCTTTCTAGCTTGTTAGCCAAGGACATGTCAAGCAGCCACAAGCAAACAGATGTGCTGTACATTTCGATAGATTCAATTGTGTTATGTAGATATTGTCATGGGAAAACTTCTTCAAATCATTGTGGAGCAGCCGCACGCCAAAGAGGACTGACGAGTGACTCCAGATCCCTATACTCCTTCCACACCCCACTGTGTGGAAACTCTAACACTCTGGGTTCTTGGATGGATGACTGTGATCACTCGACTCTCACTCACAGTTGCTAACCCCCCATCTCACAATTTGGGAAATCCATTCCCACACTCAAAACCTACACTTTGTTCACAACAGAAGTCTCTGCTCAAGCTCATCTCGGTCCCTATGTACCCCTGATCGATGCTGCTTCTTCCTGCCTCTTTCGCAAGATCAACACTAAGGCAATAGCACCCCTCAAAGACCACATTCAGCTCGCGACCATAAATCAACAAAACTCGCAAGATCGGTCAAAGATCTGTCATTGAACAGTCAATTGCAAGAAGGTGTCTCCTTCTCAGCTCACAATTCTTCCTTCAGCCAACGCTGCAAGCAAGAACTAGAATAGATTAACCCACCTCTCCCTCCCTTGGTTGGCGGAATGTCGCACAATCAAGGGGGACTCCAAGTCCCCCCTGACTGCTTCATCCGTGCCTTGGTTCCCACTCGTGATTCTTGCAATCACAAGGGGCGCCCTTGGGCCGTGGAGACGGTCGGCTTCGTAAATGGCCGAGTTTCTCCACTACATCCAAACCAACTATAATGGTCGTGCAGTGCTGCTTTAGGCGAGCGCCGCTTGTCAGGCTCGATGTGGATTGTAATTGGACGATGTTCTTGTTCCTCGTCATCAATCACCAAGCATGACCCATGCAAGGGCCTACCTCTAGCTCTGGCACCCATCATCCACTTCCAGCTACTACAATGGTAGTCGGTGACTCTAAAGACAAATCAGAATCTTTTTTTTTTAAGGTGCATAATATAGAGAACAGGGCCATGAACATAGCATGAGGAGGCATCTACTGTCGGCGCATATAGGATTGCTCCAATTCTTTTGTTTGGATACTACCCCAAGTGCAGTGTTGCTTGGTTTGGATGCCCCAAGTATTTAACCAACCGACCCGTGAAGGACAAGTGGAGGTACCGTAGAGTACGATATTGTTTGGGGACGACGAAAGAAGAATCGAATCATGAGACTACAACTCCTGATGCAATGGACTGATACCACTTGAAAAACTGAACCCCCGATTTTTGCAAATAGGATGGCACATAAATTGATGATGATGGTGATTGTTTGGTAAAAAAGGCATTGACCATGCGATCTTTTGGTCCCGAGATTTCTGCCTTTGTATTGCAAAAGGTTTGCATTTGACACATGTACTCGTTGGCTTGTGACAAGAGACAGGATCCTTGTCGTAGGATGCGTTTGTCATTGGATTCCAAATCCTGACATTCAATAACAACACTCGATACCTTTTTCAGCGAATCGCTGGCAGATTTGAGGACTTGCAAATCGGCGCCTTCGGCATCGACTTTGAGATGAATCGATTTGATATTGCTGGAAATGAGATCCAACAAATCTTTCAATGGAAAAACCATAACCGTCATGGTTCTTGTTGTCCCGATACAGTACTCTCTTTCCTATAGTAAAACTGGTCGTTTTATTCACCAACCAAAGAAAAAGGACCACCATGGCGCCCTTTGGTCCATTTCGCCGCCGAACGGAAGCATCTAATGCCACCACAACCATACCAATCGTCCCTACATCTAAGCAGCATCAAGCTCCGTCCTTGGACTCACCGGTAACAACCAGGAAACCATCGAGAACGGCCACTTTGTCCTTATCGAATGCGCGGTCATTGTCGAAAAATCAACAGATCAACTCCTGTCAACCCGATGGATTTCGATTGATACCACGAAATAAGAAGACTTCTCCGATGGTATTGCTCGACAAAGACACTGTCGCTATCACTAGTAGTACCAAGAGGAGCGAAACTGTTAGCAACCGGTTCTACGCGCTGACTGCTTCCATTGACGACGAATGGCTACAACAGAACATTGCCACGGCCGATGAAGCGTCTATCACTACTATTGAGACAACAGGGACCGAGTCCACCGCCGATGCCTCTATCGCTGTCACTCCGACCCGGAAGAACATTCGTGCAAATGCAAAGGCCAGGAAAACAAAGCCAACACGATCGACCAACGCTCAACGCATTAAGAAGATTACTCCTGTCGTTCCACTACCTATACCTCCGGTCTTGGCAATTGATGTCGATGTCTCTCCTGCAACATGGGAAAGCCTTACCCAATCTTCAAGACCACCAAAGACAATCAAGAAGAAGAGTAAACAGAGCACTCGGCAAAATTCGACAAACGACAAAAACCGAAACACAAGCAATGCATCGAGTATCATCTCCCAGCAACCACCACCGGCACTCGCCAATGCAAGCGCTTGGCCAACACTCCCAGCGGCTGCTTCTATTCCCGGAAATCATCAGCGGCAATCTACAAGTCGGCATAGCAATGACCGTTCTGCACCCACTACAGCACAACCGAACACCAATGCCGACTCAACAAAGCATCTCCCGAAAACAGCAGAGTCGAATTCTTGTGATGTGATTGCCTGGCCAACACTACACTCTACTACAGATTCAGTGGGCGGACCCCCAACTACTCCCATCGAAGCCAATACTCCACGCGACTATCTCGTCTCCACCAAATCAATCAAAAAGAGGAACAAGTTTCGTCTTAAGAAATCGATTCAGGAATTCCTGCGCCACCACGCAGATACATCCAACAGCGAACTGAAAGATGACAACTGTTCGATTATGCATAGTGCAACTACCAATATTGATTCGGAGAATCTGCACAGCTCTACAACACCTACTGGCAATGCTGAAAATCCCATCGATCTGATTTCTCCTACTGTGACTAGCAGCCAGAATCAAAGTCACATCCCAACGACTATGCCGGTGTGGTGTCTCCACTGCAATGCTCCAGCTTTTCCCATGAATCGCGCCTGCACCCAGGATACATACACACTCGAAGCAGCTGATGATCCGACACACTATTGTTCCACGTGCAAACAGTTCATTTTATTGAAAGAGTCCTTAGCAGTGGACAAGCGCTCAGACTCTCCACTTTCTATGTTGCTTTCCCCAAGCAAGAACAATCAAACAACTATTGAGGATGCCAGTATTACCACTCTGACTGATGAAGATATCGAAGTAGGAATCAAACATCTTCAGGCCACCGCGAGGAACCAGGAAATGAAGGATGCTTCTGTGGCAACAAACCAACTGGTTGATGACACAATTGTCATTGAAGTTCCTCACGAGGTCTCACTTCCTGTCAAGCAACTTGCTCCTCTCCTTGACACCGTCGCTATCACTGAACCTAAGCATCAACCACATATCTTGGAAGCATCCACTATCAACAGCACTGATGACCCGACTGAGAGTCTATCAATTACTCCGCATTCAGTTGTACCTAAACCATCAGATCAACTTCCAGTCACTACGGAAATCCAAAGTCACAGCTCTCAGCGCTGCTTCTGTCAACAGCTATCGATCTCTCGACCTCAAGACCCATTGTGTTTCCTCTGCAAGTGGAAGGCAGATCCAGCAAAGATACTCACTTATCTTGAAACAGAACTAGCAGTCCTTGTTCCCACCGACCCAGCCAATGCCACTGCCTCTGTCTGTGTTAGGAACTCCCTTCTCGAGCTACAGAGAACCCACTGTCCATTGCCTAGAGAGATTCACCAGAGAGCAAAGTCCTTGGGTCTACTGGAACCAGCTCCTGATACTGATGTTCCCTCGATCCCAGGCATTATCACCATGACCATTCAGGAGTCCAAGCAAGATGCCGCCACTGCTTCACGTGGCGCTGCCAATCCCATGGCTCTTGATGCGGATGAGAGCGCAAATGAATCCAACACCAATGGCAACCAGGATGACGACAATGGAGCTCCTATGAGGGATGACGACGAGGAAAGCTTTGAGGATGCCAACGATGGTGCAAGGAGCCACAAAACACACTACTTTAGGGTTCGCATTGAGGCAATGAATCCAGCCACCTCAGCAATGCCTATTCCCCTGGTCATGCAGCTGTTGACACTATTGTGTTCTGATGACAGGTACTCAATCACCTTCAAAAATCATGAAGGGATAGGTGACTTTGAGGGCAATGGAATTGACTTGGACTCTCTAGGCAACATGACCCGCGATCAGCTTGTCAAGTGGCTGAATGCCTCAGTGATGGACTGGGGTCCTATCAATGATTACATTCGTCGATTTGCCTGTTCCTTCTATGTTCACAGCCCTGATTACGACAGCGTCACTGCACTCAAAAGATTCAAGGAGTGGTTCCTTTCTCAAAGAACACAATTCTTCCTCGCCAACACAGCCTAGAGGAATCCCAAACTGCCACAGTATGCTACTTTCCGGGAAGAATCCTAAAAGACCTTCCGCGATGGCCTGTCTACCCAGGGTATCCAGTGGCTACGTCAGCAGAAGCCTTCCATCACCTGTCACCATTTCCATTGTTCCAACCAAAGTCAAGGTCGATACTGAGAAGTTTGACATTCTTGGTATCCAGGTGGGATCACCGACCGTCCAGCCTTTGAGAACCTTATGAAAGCCATTGCCAAGGATCCCACTCTGCAACACCCTCAGTTGGATCTCCTCAGTCCAAAACTGAACAAGATCAGCAGACAAAGAAAGCACCATGACTCCTTCAAAATCTGAATCCAAACTTTGAGATGAAATTCGTCGTTGCTCTAGAGAAGATGTCGATGAATTTAGCATGAAGCCATTATGGGTGCGGAGACTTGCTGCTCAGTCTGTGGAAGATCCTGCTGCCATCTGCACTCTTTCCGTACAATGCTGTGTCACATCAGACAAGATAGGAACACTGTAAGATAGTAGTTCTCTGCAAGGAAGATGATCAGCTCCTCAGCCATCCTATCTAGAAAGATAGCCTGGATATACCAGCCAAAAAGATGCATGGATCTGTATCCTGCATGGCTGAGATGAGATTCACGCAAAATCAGAGTTTTGTTTATTTATAGTTTAAAGAAGTAATGAAGAAGTATTTGACTGAGAACAGACCCAACAGCACAAGTAGAGCTCTTCAGTAGACAGGATCCTGTATGGCAGTGCCAGGGTATTGAGAATTAGACTGTTCAACCATTCTTCCACATGATTGAATAGCATTGGCTGCCGCCTTGGCTGCCCTTCCACGCCAGTGAAAGAGATTCCACCAAACAGAGGCTCTCATCCAGCTTTGTCACCCTACCAGCTAGTTCCTACCTGAATTCATAGATACTGTCGCCAAAGCAAGCACAGAGTGGCTACATGTGGAATCGCGTGGAAGAAGAGGAGTTGCTCGATCGAAACCTGCGACAGATCATACGACCGAAAACTCGAATCGCGACTGACTGGGTTGAACCAAGTGGTCCATCTAACAAGTCAAGGGTGCTCTAAAGATAGACCAGCTGTGCCTCGGTTAATAGGCCATGAAACAAGTGAACGGGAACGGAAAGCCATCGGCCGATCCCTACCAACAAGAAATCGCGACCAATGCTATACTCCGAAGTCGCCGAAAACACAAATCCGATCGTTACGGTCCAAACCAAGACGGTCACCTACCAACCGAGGGTGCTTGAGAGTTGGTACCAGCCAGTTCCTTGTTAATTGGCTTGTTACGCAGCGCGAAGTGGAAGCAACAGAGTAACATACATTGTCACCTTTTCGCGGATTTTCCTACGGAAATTTCCCAGTCGTAGCCTCCGGAGATACTCGGGAACCGTACTCACACGGTACTCACAGGAACCGGTACCGTACCTCGTGGCTTCTGTTCCGAAAGACGCGACCGAGCCTCATCACGAGTCCCTCACATTTTCATTCGATTCCGACTCCGGTATAGAAAGACTCGTGTGAGTTTTCGATGACTTCCAGGGGTAACTCGCAAGCACCACGAGAACACCTTCTCCAGTCGGTTTCAAAGCATCCAAGGGCTAAGCAGAGTGTCAAGGCAACCTCTGTCTTGAGTCATTACAACATTGCAAGCCCTCAAGTCATAATTTGGATTTACTACAACAAACACCTTACACCCACCACACCCAGTCCACGCACAACAACATGGCTCGCAGAAGAAGAGGAGCACAACAACAACAGGCCCCCTCGGCCTTCTAGAAGTGTGATTACACCACCCAGATCTAGCAGATTAGCACTGACACCAACAGCCCCGACTGCAGGACCTCCACTCCATTCCATCACATGCAATGCAGGGGGGCGGGGGGGGGGGGGGGGGGGGGAGCCCCCTATAGCTACCATCAGGGCCTCCCATTGTACTCCTTCCCCACAGCAAACCAATGTGTTACCCATTCATATGATCAGCCACCAACGTCAATAGCATTGAAGAAAATGAACAAATGAACCAAGCTTCCTTGCCCCCACACAAACCACACCATACCAATCAGCTTGTGTTCCTCCATCCACATGACTACATTCCTGCACACCTGGTTATCACAAAGCCTAGCCTGAGATCAAGGCCTAGGAGGACCGATTCAGAAACAGACAGTTTGGAACAGAGTTTGTGTTGGGTGATGTTGAGACCCTTTGG